AAGAACTGTAGAGGTACCTTGTATAATAGTTGTAAAAAAGGATAAAAGGGGCTCTAAAAATATAATAGACTTAATCCTCAGCAGGTAGAAATTGACTTTTATGGAATTACATCAGATTATACTATTTGGATTTTAAAAGAGCCAAATTCTGTTCTCTGTTACAGTGTTCTAAATCTGCAATAAATCAGCTCAGTAAGTAAACAAAGCATTGTTTCTGTATTATTTGCTATTAGTTTATTTCATTACTATTACGAACAGCTATGCCTTTAACTGGGGCAGGTTTAGTCTTTCATTAGTAAGCTTTTATGTTTTATTACCTTATCAATAATGAATGTACATGAATATGTAATAAGCAGCTATTTAATTAATGCATTCAAGGTTGTGAGACTAGCGAGGAGTAAAATCTATACTCTTTTTAGAAAAAGAATCTCAAATATGAGGAAATTTTAATTGCAGATTCATTTTCTCTGTTTTTTACTTAACATCATAATCAGATCAATGATTCAAAGTAATAATTTATTTCCAGTTTTTATCTTTTAAGAAAAGGAAAGATGGCTATCTAGAGAAGGAAAGATGAATACTAATTGCAATAAATATGTATTCTTAAAAATATAGCATTGTTTAAGATAAAATTCTGAAACTCCTCTCTTTCCTTTGGGAACACCAGCAAAAGGAAGGTAGGTGGTACTACAGCTCTGATATGGAGATATTTGCATTTGGCTGATGTTAAGAGTGAGAATGTTAAGAATGTTCAGTGAGACTATTCATTTACTTAATATTAATTATATAAAGGCCTTTCTGATTTTACTCTTTGTCTCCACATGCTAAAATCTCCCCAATGTGTAAACAGAAGCACAAGAGGGCAGGTGCCAGGAGATGTGGGTAATTTGCCGTAAGTGTTTAGCAATGCATGGCTCCTTTCCGAGGTCAATTTCTGTCTGGGTAAAAGTGTCTTGTGATTTTGGAGTGCAAAATATTCTCTCTAACACTGGATTTCTTGTGGTTTACATATGAAAATCCAATCCAGTAGAAAAAATATGCTAATGTTATTTTCAAGTAAAAGAATGCTTGTCATTATTATGGTAATACCATCTTTGTATACCTCTCCGAGGTAAATACTCTTTTGTTAGATTAAGGCTATATAGAAGGATTCCAGGCAAAGGATCATGTTGCATTCTTTTCTCCTGTAATTTTAGCTGTCATCCTATTTGACTAAAATACCACCTAGTGATTCTAGATAGATCTGTGACTTAGGTGTCAATCAAATAATATTCACAAACAAGTCAGAATATTGCCAAACTTTATCAGGTGATTCTTTTTTATGTGCAGCACCAGCTCTTCCCAAGTCAAGAGTATATTTTTTTGTAAGTCTGGTTTTGCCATTGGCCTGAAAACCTTACAGATGATGGAAAGGGGTAGAAATCCCAATAAAGAAAAAAGAGAACAGAGTGGAATAATAAGACAAATTGCGTTGGTGATAGAAATTTTCTATTCTTTGTTCCTTGCATTAGTAAGCAATTCACCAGCACACAGAGTTCTGCTGATAAAAACATAATATACACCCCTACTTGTCAGGGAAACAAGTATCTTACTGTGCAAGTCACTTTGATTTTTTAAAACATTTTTGGAAGACACTGTGCTTTCATGCTTGCCCCCTAACAAACGAGATGGAGATAAGCTGATTCAGAGTGCATAAACAATTCCAACTTCTGGGTTTTTTGCAAAGTCTACTTACAGTTCTCTTGGCTTCCATCACCACGTATAGAGCAAATTGGGTACCAGTTGCTTCATCTTCATTGTATTTCTTCAGTGCTGCATCAACAGCTTTAAAGACATCAGGGTCATCACAGTCTGAAAACTCAAACGCAAGAGGAATGTCTTTGCTAGAGAAAAAACTAAAGCAGAGTGCTAGTACAATGAAGGCCTTCATAACTGGATGAAAAAGGCCCCCTGAATTAGAAGGCTCTTTAAGAACCAAATGTAAAAGGAATGTCTGACAGGATTGTAGTCACCTCTTCTCTTTTTCAGGAGCAGTAGTTAAGTAAACAGAGTGAGTGGGTTGCTGGGGTTGGTTGGTTCTTATCATACCCTGTTTATACTGCAAATAAACTTCTGAGTTTATCTAAATAAACTTTGTTTTTTCACCAGAATGACACTAAGGTTATCCACCTGCCATCAAGATAGCAGGATGAATGGCTGCAGCTGGGGACCAGTTTAGGCAAAGTAAAGCATAAGAGAAAGAAGTGGCAGTAGCTTTCTGACTTAACACCTAAACTGCTACTGAGAATGAATTTTACAAGGCTTAAATAAAACATCCAGGAAGGTCACAGTGGCAACGAAGTTTTGGACAACAACCTTGTAAATTTTATAGATCTGTTTAGTGTTCAGGCTGCAACAGTTCTGAGAACTATAGTGCTCAGAATGTGTTTGAAAAGTCTTTGGACATGTGCATATGGTTGAATGTCACATAACCCTTCAATAGCACTTGATAAACCTTGTCCTTCATGGTCCTATTGGAAAGTCCATCTCTGCTGCCATGTGGAGACTGCCTGGCTTATGGATTAGTTAGTGATCATAGTGCTTTGTTATCATTACAGATATGTGACACCCAAGAACAAAGGATTAAACACTATCATCTGAGTCTGGTCAAGCCAGGATTAGAGATGGCTGAGAACATCTGGTGCTTTTGTCCCCTGTGTGGCACCAAATAGCTTTGAGTCTGTGAACACCTTGGGATTGTCTTGGCTTCTGTGTTCCAGCTGTTTCTTGCTGTATTTGATTTGTGTGGCAAGGTTTTGATAGCAAGGGATTACAGGGGTGGCTTCTGTGAGAAGCTGCTGGAAGCTTCTCCTATGTCTGACAGAGCCAATGCCAGTCAGTTCCAAGATGGATCCAGCTCTGGCTGAGTCCATCAGTGCTGGTGGTAGTGCCTCTAGGATAACACAGTGGTGAAGGAAAAAAAAGAAGGAACTGGGAAAGAACAGGAGAGAGAAGAGAGAGAATATGTGAGAAAAACAGCTATGCAAATCCCACGGCCTGTGAAGAAGGTGTGGGAGGAACTGCTGTGGGTGAGGAATAGAGATTTTCCTGCAGCCTATGGAGCAGACCATGGTGAGGCAGCTGTGTCCCTACAACCCCTGGAGGTCACTGGTGGAGCAGGGATTAACCTGCAGCTCATGGAGGACCCCACACCAGAGCAGGTGGATGCCCAGTGGAGGCTGTGACCCTGTGGAAGCCTGGGCTGGAGCAGGTTTTCTGGCAGGACTTGTGAGGGCACTGATGCTGGAGCAGTTTGTTCCTAAAGGACTGCACATCATGGAAAGGACCTACACTGAGCAGTTCATGAAGGACTGCCTCCAGTGGGAGGGATCCCTGGCTGGAGCAAGGAAGAGTGTAGGGAGTCCTTATCCTGAGGAAAAAGGAGGGGTAGGAGCAACATGTGATGAGCTGACTGCAACTCCCATTCCCATCCCCCTGCACCAGCTGAGGGAGAAGGTAGAGAAAATCAGAAGTAAATTTAAGCCTGGGAAGAAGGCGTTTTAAAGATTTTACTTTATTTCTCATTCTCTTACTTTGTTTTGATTAGTAATAAGCCAATTTCCCCAAGTCCAGTCAGTTTCGCCTGTGATGATATTTGGTGAGTGATCTCTCAAGCCTTACCTTGACCCATGAGCTTTCTGTTATATTTTCTCTCCCCTGTCTGGCTGATGAGAGCAGTGACAGAGCAGCTTTAGTGGGTACCTGGCACCCAGCCAGGGCAAACTCACCACACTTGGTACAAGTTTTGATTAAAGAAAATGCACTTTAGACACTGTGGATAAACTAAACCAGAAATAAGTTTGTTCATACATGATAACAGACTTTTAAAAATTAGTCAATCTTCACTCAGTCACAATGGGTCCTCATTTTCTTTCTTTTACTTCAGTGTGGCCTTTGCACTGTGTTTCACTTTATGCCATTAAAAAGCTATTTGGATGATCAAGTTACTAACTTTTTTGAGATTAATCCCATGTTCTTGCTGATGACATGGCTGTTCTGAACCAGCTTGCTGGTCCCTGGACAGTCTGGAGGGACTTGACCTTGATGGGGGCTGGAGTATAAAGAGGCACCACTGTTCTTTCTTCCTTCTCCTCCCAACTCAGTTTCCAGTGAGGAAGGTTCAGCAATAAAGAAAACATTTACATGAAAGAGTTATTACATGCATCTGCTTTTCTCTTCCCCTGAGAGCAATTATGAACTATTTGAGAAGGGCTGTCCTTGACTGCAATATTTCTGTGTATCACCACCAGCAGCTGTAGTGATGGAAGCACCTGTGTAGGCCACCCTGCAGTGAGACAGCAAATCATTAACTGTTCTCAGACCACTAGATAACAGTGCTAACCCAAACACCATTAGTCAATTTATGCTAGAGTTTGCTTTGTGGATATTTAATACTTAAATAACTTCATAGTTTAATATAATTTCTAGTTCAGTATCCAATAGCTAATTATGTGTAGTAAAAAAACAACAAAAAAAAACCAAAACAGGCAACTGTGTCAAGAAAAAAATGCTTGCATTTTTATTTTCTATAAATCTGTATAAAGCATGAATGTAGTGTCATGGATTACTTTTTTATGGAAAACAGTCAAATTTCCTCTAGGTCAGATTCCTTGGAGAAGTACATTATAATTACGAATTATGAAAAAAAAGAAAGATTATAGATGGTAATTTGCACTATTAGAGAATTTTCTTTTTTGTTAGAACTGAAAGTACATTGTTTTCTGAGGAGATTTTTACCCATTCACATTATCTGAGGGACTCAGAATTTTGAGCCTTTCAGTTACAGTGGAACTTGAGGTAGCCATGATGAAGACATAGGTTGAAATACTTAATGAATATTTTCACTGATTCTCCTTCCTAGAAACAGAATACTTTTCCCACTTCTCCATCTGCTGTTTTCATTGACTGTAGGACTGTGGTTGCCCCTGAAATTATTGAGACAGGAACATCATTCTCTGAGGTCATATAGGAGAATTTTCTGTTACAAGGCTATGAGGAAATAAAGGCAAAAATTTTGGAAGATGAAGTTTGGGTTTTCCAGGGCATGATTTTGATTGTGTAGGGTGATCTGGAAAGCCTGGAAATTCTGCCATCTCCTTTAGTTTTGAGCCAGTTCTGGAAAAGTGAAGGTTGCATTGGGATAGTTCAGGAAAGTTTGCAGTAGGAGGTGTGAGAGAATCCTGCTGATTTAGAACTGGGATGCGATAGACAGCTCCTGTTACATGGCATGGAAAATACTTCCCTGATATGCTTGTCTTGTTGTGATGATGTCTGTAATAGTGATGACAGTGATGAGGAGGGTGTCCTGGAGGAGGGGGACAGGGTGGTCCATGGTGGTGAGGAGGGTGGTGGTGACCTGGTCCATGAGGTGGGGGACAGGGTGGTCCATGGTGGTGAGGAGGATGGTCATGGTCTGGTCCCTGAGGAGGGGGACAGGGTGGTCCATGGTGGTGAGGAGGGTGGTCATGGTCTGGTCCATGAGGAGGGGGACAGGGTGGTCCATGGTGGTGAGGAGGGTGGTCATGGTCTGGTCCCTGAGGAGGGGGACAGGGTGGTCCATGGTGGTGAGGAGGGTGGTCATGGTCTGGTCCATGAGGAGGGGGACAGGGTGGTCCATGGTGGTGAGGAGGGTGGTCATGGTCTGGTCCATGAGGAGGGGGACAGGGTGGTCCATGGTGGTGAGGAGGGTGGTCATGATGTGGTCCATGAGGTGGGGGACAGGGTGGCCCATGGTGGTGAGGAGGATGGTCATGGTCTGGTCCTTGAGGAGGTAGAGTAGGATGATGATGATCTGGTTCATCATGGGGAGGAGGGGGAGAAGAAAGTTCTTTGTTGCTGTCTTGATCCTCCTTGCTGGATTTGGGGTTATGCTCAGGGTCTTCAGGTCTGGACTGAGAAGAGGGGGGACATTCATGTCTGTGGTGATGCTTATGGCGATGTCTGTGACCAAAATGATGATGACAGTGGGGATGTCTGTGTGGATGTCCCAGGGCTGAATGTTTCCCTCTTTGCCCACAGCCATGGTGCTGTTCATAAAAACAACAGGGAGGAAGTATTAATCAGGTGTTGATAGGGTAGAAGAAATTGATGAGAGAGAGGGGGGAGTTAGCAGGTTTGCATTCATAGCTCTAATGATCTTTAAGGAAAAAAATCTGTATTTTTTTCATGATGGGGGAGAAGGAATAGATAATAAAATGCCAAGTTACTGAAAATCTGCCTGAAATACTACACCATTTTGAAATTATATAACCAGCTGAGAAGTATTTGTGATAGATCAAAACAAAACAAATCCACACTGGAGTAGCTGTTGTGATATAAACTGGAATACCAGATATGATAAAGATCATCTCCCCTCCCCTTGCTTTCTAAAATTCCTTTGAACTTTTTTGCCAGTCTCTACTCACTGACGCTTAGTCAAGTGATTAAACTGAGAGAAGACACGCTTGAAAGGAGTGGTAGGGACAGCTCAATTCTGATCAATCCTTTGAGTGACCTAGGACTTGCAGGTCAGTCTGTCCTGACAGGCTGCATCGCACCCAGGCAATAGAAAATTTGCATAAATTTTACAATCATCTGCCAGTCTGGGCTAAGCAAGATTGCTGCAACCTGCATGAGGATACAGCCAGAGATGTGTCCATAACTGAGTACATACCCAGGGATGGTAGATTTCGCAGCTTATATCTGCTCCATCAGCTTCCTCTGCATCACTGATAACTCTTGCCTTGCAGAATCCGGTGTGCTAAGCAAAAGACAAGGAAAAAAACCCACAATGCACATCTGGGTTCTTGTGATGGAATTAATACAAACTACTGAATGTTCAACATTTTACAAGTTAGGCTATTCCTTTGACACCTAAGTATCTTCACATAACTTAGCCAGATCCAGAGCCTTCTAACCAATGCTTGCTAGGGATTAATGATGATTAAAATAAGTGCTGGTTTTGGGGGGTTCTTGACTGTGATGCACTCCAGATGCACTTCACCATGTGCAGCTAGGGGGCTACTACTCTGCATCTCACTTCCATTTTGATGTCTGAGAAATTGGCCAGCCACTAATGCCTCCAGAATGAGTACTCTTGGGTGCCTGATTTTTCTTCCTTTTTTTTTTCCCGCCTTTGCTTGTCAAACATCTCTTCAGATTGGAGTATAAAAAACCAGAGAAGGTGATGGATGTAAATCATATAAACCAAAAGTTTTACATATTTTATTTTTTCCATGTTTTATTTCATTATTTCAATTTAGTTTCTGGGAAATAATTTATTCTGAAATTATGAAATCTTGCCTAGCTGTTTCTTTGGTGTAGACTATAACAGTAATGAAAAAATGGGGTGAAGAGAACACTTTGATAGTTTTCTGCAGATGACCTTGAATTATTCCACTCTCCATTCTTCTGCAGCAAAAAAAGCAACCCTGAGCTCATTTGGATTACTTAAGACATTTTTTTTTTTTAGGAACTATGACTCATATTGGTGTAAAAGTTTTTATGGACAGAGCATGAATGATTTGCTAGGGATTGGCCACAATTTGAATCCAAAAGCTAGATACAACCTGAAAAACTCTAGGCTTCTAACATGCCAGATTCCAATTACATTAAGATTTGAGAGTTCAGACTGTTTCCTTATAAAAGATAATGGAGCAGCTGTAAAATTAGGATCTGGGCTTGGACATGCTGGATTTTTAGTTTTGAGTTTGGGTGCATGCTTATAATAAACACTTGAAAATATATTGGTAGAATCTTCCTGGTACCACCCTTTATATCAGTTCTTGTTCTAAAACTTTACTTACAGCATGCCAGTCATGCAGAAAATCACATTCCAGTGCCTGATCTGTTTCCTGCATAGATTTTGAACAGTTGGTCTCTTTTATAGAGAATCCCAAAATGTGACCTTCACGGGAGGCAGTCTGAAACCAAGAGGTCAAAGAAGAAGTGGTGACTAGGTGTATTTAAAGTCTGTCAATTTTCAGAGCAACCATACGCCATCTTATTGTCAAAATCCCATCTACCTCATGCTTTCCTTACCTGTCCTGTTCAAATGTTCATGCACATACACATATTCAGCAAGGAAAACAGGTTAGATAATTTATATCTCATGCCCTTACTGCTTCCAGGAACACTTGCTTTAATTCTTTGTTTAGTATGCATGTGTTATAAAATCTGTTACTTTTACAGCCTGTGTTTTTAGGAAGTAGTGTCCTTTGAGTCTTCTCCCTAAAGTGAACTGCTGCTTCTGTGAAAGTAGAGAGATCTATTGGATGGCAACCACCCATTTCCAGTGTTGGGAGTGCATAGTATTAGAGTGCTGATGTTAATTTGAGGTGAAATTCTGCCGGTTACTGTAAGAATGTTGCTTTCTTTGTTGTCAAGGGCATTAGTTATAGAGAAGGCCTTACTCCATATGAACATGGGAGAAAGCCTTTGTGATCCCATTAAAATCCATAAAGAGGTGTTTCATTTTAATTTCCAGCTATAGCAGTACTTTTATATCAAGTCTGTGTTGAAGGTGTCCTTAGCATGTGTGCACATACAAGTTTCACTAGTTAAACTAAATTGGTTGAAAGTGCATGCACATACTTTATGGTGTTTTTTATTGTAATTCATAGTTTCTGAGTGTTAAAATCCAGTGGTACAATGTAAAGTGTTGCTGTAGCTGAAGATGGTGAAGTGTGAAAAACCAAGTGTTTGGGGAGAAACACATGAACCCAGGCAATGTGAAAACAATCCCTTTCTAAATGGCAGTAGGGATACAGCGTGCACAGGGCTCCAGTGTGGGACACTGTCAGGTTTCTGAGCGATATTAAAAGCTGCAGGGAGGTGAGTTTGGCATGCTATCATTTAGGCAGTTTCCAAGATCAACATGTATTATGATGGGAGCCTTGGGACCTCATTACAGAGGTGTCCTGGGCTGACACATGTGTTGGCAGAATGATCCCATGCTGTTTAAGTGAAAGTCTCCAGTATCTACCAACAAGAAATTTTGTTATTAATATACTTCAAATCACCCAAAGGATAAATCTTCATGTTGACTTCACTTAGATATGGAGATATTTACCAGACCCAGAAGTTCTTCAAGAGCTACAACACAAATTCACCTCCCTTCCTCAGAGTGCTGCTTTGCTCTGCAGCAAGAGTCAAAATGATGCTGAGCATGTTCCACTGTTTGTTGTACCCATGTGATAAATATTCTAAGAGTAAAAAATTATCTGTCTGCGACTGACAAAAGTGTGACTGTGATAATACATGACTGTCCATCTTGAAGTCTGCTCAGTAGTAAATAAACCCATGTATGTAACATATGTCAAAATTAAAATATGTACACAAAGGAGGCCTTGAATTCTGAATGCCATCATACTGCCATAGTTCTTTAGCAAATGAGAAGTCCTTTTGCTTTCACACACCTAAATTAAAGTTGATAACAAGTCTTCACTAAAGTAGGACCTTCAACTTAGATCTGATCCTAGAAGGGTTTCAGTTCTGGCCCCATGGTCTTGGAGTTGCTCACAAAATTGTGTCATTTCTAAGTAATTCTAGGAGCAAATGCCACTTACCATCTTTAAAACTCTTTCAACTTTATCCACAGCGAAGTTGTTTGTGTGGTTACCTTCACTGTTGAATTTCCTCAGGGCCTTTGCAGCAATATCTTTGTGTTGCTCAGTGACTTCTAAGGCTTCAAGTTTCACAGGACAGTCTTTGCACTCTACTAAGTCAGGTGGAACTGTGAAAACAAATAATTAACTAATATTACAGTGGATATTAATACTCCTGGGAGTGTGCCCATGCCTTTAATGTGAACTCATAATGTGAAACTTAAATGCAGCATTTCCTTGGAAGTGAAATACCTGTCCCTTGCTCCACAAATAAGGGTTTGTTCTGTAATGTGAAAACAACCCAAACCCATGAAAATGAGTATTCTTATGAATCACCTTAGATTCTTACCACCCCAAATGTGCAGTCTTCCCAAATTTACATTTGTTCTGATGTTCATCATCATATTTTGGTGGACTGGAATGGTGATATCAGCTGACATCAATAAAGTCTGGTTTAGAGGAGTAGGGTAACCTTAATTCTATTACTCATTCTTAACATTCCATTTGAATTATCTAAAATATGAATTACAAGCAGATGAATGGATCTGTTATGGTTTCCATACACTGGTGGTGTACAGACTTTGGTACAAGGGCTGGTTTGAGGTATGCATTGGCTTACAGCAGTGGTTATTTTACCTGGACTTAATGTACAATTAAATCCATATAGTTGAGGTTTCTTCAGCAGATGGTTTGTATATGTGATAATCTTACATTGCCCAAAGTCCTGAGAGGAAAAAAGAATACATGATTATGATGTTATTTTCCCTGGATTTAATTGGATGTAGGCGACCATAGAAATTATACCTCCTTTCAATGTGCAGTGCCTCTAAGAATAACAGATGTGGTCATTAATGCCATGTTTGATCAGGTACCACTCAAAATTTGTCTTCAGATAAAATGGGATCTCTCTGTACAAGAGCTTTTATTTTAATTCTCAGTTTGCATGATTGAGTAGACAATGGAAAACTGAAACAGCTTTCTTAGTCATCCTGATACTTATTTAGAGTAGGATAAGACAAGATGACAGGGAAACTTAGAATGCCATGTTATACAAATCTTGGTCAAAAGTGGATGGACCTTTTCATCAATTCCTTTTCTCCAATAAAAAAAAAAGAATAAATGCTTTCTCTTGTCTGCTCCTGGGCCTTCTTCTTTCTCCTTTGTCATAGTATCACAACTCCTATTTAAATAAAGTTTTGGACTGGGAGTTCTCATCACTGGAGTGCAAAAGAAAGGACAAGTATTGCTGTACATCGTTCATGCAATGACACTACCAATCTTTCCCATTGTCATACCACAAATGTTATGACAGAAAACTGACAAAATATACCACTGGTATTTCTGGCTCATATACCAGGAACATGCTTAAAAAATAATTTCTAGTGCCCTTTAGTTGTCAGCAAATTACCCTTAAAACATAAGTTCTGCCACAAGCAGTGGAATGTGGAGTATAGTTCCTTTGAGACAGCAAGTTAAATAAGTTATACTTATTTGAAGACTCAATCCTTTCCCAAGCTTTTAGCATATATTTAACATTCTAGAATTAGATATAGTTTGGTTTAGAAAGAGCCATATTAAAGCCCAGTGTTCTCTGAGACACACACTTCTGGGCAGTTCAGAGGAAGATCAAGTTAGTGCATTATTGGTGTATGAGTTGGTGCAGATGCCATTGCTTGCCATTGGATAGGTGTGACTGTAGTCACAGGACTCCCAGTGTCTTCTGGATAAGACAGAGCATTCCGTTTCCAGCACATCCAAAGTTAAGTAGAGGACCGTTGAATTTCCCTGGAAGAGAAGTGCAAGTGAAACAGAGTTTGTAGACAAGAAGTTTGATCTGAAATAAACTTTTTTGAGGTCACTATATTTAATCTTTAATGCAGCTTCTCCAGTTCTTTATTAAGGTTTTTCAGAGCTATCAAGTACAGGAAGTGTTTAGGCTGGAAGGGACCTTTGGAGGTCATCTTGCCAAGCCACTTGCTCAAGGCAAAGCTGAAACTTCAAAGTTTCGACTGCATTCTCTGTATCACCAAGACAGACATTCCACAACATTTCTGGGCCATTCTAGTACTTCACAACTTTCTCCATGATTTAGTTTTATATATAATCAGAATTTCCCTTCCTGCAACTTACACTTGTTGCCTCTTATCCTTTTGTTGATAACCTGTGAAAAGTGTCTGTTGTTAATATGACATTCATCAAGTAGGGAAAATGCCATTGTTAAAAGGTTGCCATTCCCTATTTCTGATTTTCCCATAGAATGTACTGTTCTATTTGGACATCAGTTGTCTAAGCAGCCAATTCTGTATGTACATCCATTTCAAATTACCTTAGTGACCAGAGACTTTCAGACCTTTGCTTCCTGCTCAGTTTATTCAGGGAGGGATGCAACAACACTTTAATAATCCCAATCAGAATCCTTAACTCTGAAACTATTCTAGTATGTTCTGTCTCCTGAGCAAATACGATTAGGAGAATTAAAATTTGAATTTGGATGGCAGTGTAATGGCATCTGGTGCTAAGAATTTTCTGTGGCCCACAGAAACGATTTTGGAATGGATTATTTAAACTTTATTCAGCCCTTGTACGGACATTCAGAATAAACAGATATGTATTTTATTTTGTCATTTAGATAAAAACGTGCAAAGCCCTTCAATGTGAAGTGTCCTTGGGCTTTATGAAATTCCATCCATTCAAGTTCCTTTTTCAGTGTTTCTTTATAGATGAGACCTTGAAGAATTGCTGCAGTTTAGTGTAATATTTTCACTAGTAAGAGTCCACCAATGTCATGGTAAACACTGGTTTTGCAATATTTGTATATCTTAGCATTGTGTCTAATTTTAAAATAGGGGTTAAATGTCTACATCCAAATACGCAGTAGAAAATTCTTCTGTTCATCTCCTCAATAACTCTTTGGGGGAAATATGGTATCTTCTTAGTTGTTTTAAAAGCATTTTGCCCACACAAGTCCAGAACTGTGTTGTTGTGGATACCTGAGTATCTTATGCTTCTAGAACTCCTGTGTAAACCCAGTAGAGATTTGTCTGAAATTGCTCTGCTTAGATTTCTGAAGGGGATGATATGATAAACCTGTTGCACACTATTGCATGGAGAAACAAAAATAATGTTTTGGTCTTTGTTTTTTTAATATATACACATTCTTAATGTTATCTTGGCAGTGGAACCAAAGAAAGGTCTAGCACAATAATGTACATGATTAGTGTGCAGGAGATCACATCTGGTGGCTTTGGGTCTGAGAACATACAGAGACCTTACAGGGAGGGTTCTTTAGCAGTCAGACAGATAGAAGTGTCTTTTCTGTTTTTGTAGACACTGTGTGACAGCTGAAGAGGGATGGCACATACATAGCTGCATGGCAGCAGAATTCTTTAAGGACAGGAGACTTCAGGGTTTAATATCTTAATGCAGAAGAGATTCTTCCCAGCTGAAGCTCTTTAACTGCCTGACTACTGTGTACAACCCAATGATATTACTTGCTGCATTCTTGTCTTTGGAAAGCAAAAAATTCCATCGGGTTTTTTTGCAGGTGTACCTGAAGACCTGTGACAAGCTGGACTTTGGGTCCCTTTCTGAATCTATACTTGTCCTTACAGGCACTACCAAGCAGCTTCATCAAACACTATCCTGTTTTTTCTGTTGCTATACTGGGATGTCTGTGATGGTGCATGTGTGCCTGTATACCAGTTTCATAATCAAGCAGCTGAAAGCTACCAGGTGCATTAGTAAATCTGCTTGTCCTTGCTCTCTTTTATGTACTAGTCAAAGCCATTTTATTCTATTGCTTTTTCTGCTATTGATTTGTTTTGGCATTTCAGCAGTCATTTAGAAATGCTTATGTTATCTTCTCTAGGAAAAAAAAAATGGAAATAGGAAGGAAATAGAAAATGACTGATAGGGATTCTCTATCCAGTCCCTCCCCTGTTTTGTAGAGTAGCAACTCCTTTGACTTCCTCTGCCTTTTTCCCTTTCCACCAGTTTATTCAGGTATGTCTGAAATTAAGGTAATAACAAAATATCAATCTTGCAGGATGCATTGGTCTAATTAATGTTAGACATTCATGGAATAAAGAAACCTTCTGAATATAAATTTTGAGTGTACCATCTGAAACCAGACAGCAGACAGAACAGATTAATTTCCAGAGTTGTATAGAGCTGTTCAGAGCATCTCTTATGCAAACATCCTGCTGGCCAAGAGAAGAGAGGCCATTCAGCATTGTTTGAAATCAAGTTTATGTGCAGTAAATCATACACAAATGAATACTGAGGTGTTGTAAATCACAGCTGATTCATTGGATTACATCAACATTGTTCTAGTAAAAGCAATAAACATAAGCTCTTAATTACCTGGCTCATTATTTAAAAATCACAGTCTTGTGTAAATCAGCCTTTAAGTTCATACTTACTAAATGTAGTTCATGTGCATCAGCAACACGGAACAAACCAAAAACGTAACCATCTCTGCGATGTCTGTTGACCAAATCCAGGGCCACTCCTGCATCTGTTTCAATGGTGTTACAGTCTGCAGGTGTAATGCTTATTTCATTTTGGGCATTAGAGCACTGCAGTAGTGTTAGAAAAAAAGCTGAAGCTAGAAGCAGCATTTTGTTTGCAGTGTTCGGTCACTTGTGCCCATGCCCTGATAAAGCCAGCCTGCTTTTAAATCAGAGCAGCCCTCCAAAGTTATAAATGAATGCTAAAAGGGCATGGTTTTATATAAGTTTAAGTGTCATGTCAGACAGCCATTACCTTGACCCTGGATTAACATTTGCAAACAGCAAGTAAATGATTATATAGTGATTGATCAGATTTTGAAGAAAGTAGGCTTTATAACCTGTCTGGACTACCCTCCAAAGGGCCTGTTTATGAATCTTTATGCAGATGTTGTGCAATGGTGCTTTATCATGGAAAGAACTTACTTCTAACTGTGTTAGGCTGAGCCTGGCAGTAAGAAGGTCCAGTTTATGTGTGCAGATATTACACAATCTTGGTCTTCTGTTTACTATTAAAACAGTTGAACTGAAAATATGCTGAAATATTTGTGGTCAAATTATGGCTCTATTCATATCCCTGTTTTTACAGAAATAAGGAATTCACTCAGATGTGGAAAAGGGATATAGCTCAAGGTGCACTGCAGGCTGGTGGTCTGTAGCTGCTATGTGAGTACCTCCTACTCCTCCAGCTAAAGAAAATTTAGAGCATATTTCTATCAGCTTTACATCATTTCAGACTGGTACTCAGAAAGGGACTGACTGGCTAATACTGTGTAACCTAGGTATGGCAAGAAGTTACATAAAGCTGCCTTTGCATTCTCAACCTGAGCAGTTTTGTGTGTTTTTTTGGCTGTGGTAGCCCTCATAGACTTCTTTAGAGAATTGCTGGTAATTTTTCTTTTTGTATTTAATAAAATAATGCAGTACCTAGTAAGATTTATACCTTTTAAGTATATGCCAACATCCTCTCCTAAGCAGAAAGGATGAGATGTTCTCTCGTTGTATTCAAAATCTTTTTTTCAGGATAGTTTAAGACATTCTTAAAAGGCAGTAATTGCTTGTCAGGGAGTGGCTGAAGATGGAATACAAAATTTAAACACCAAATAAGAAAATACAAAAATGCAAAGTGAGTCCAAAATGACAAGGTCAGACTCAGATGAGGAATTTTCCAAATCTAGTTTGATGTGAAGGTTGGATTAGCTTCTCACAGAAAAAGTGCTGGCTGTAGATTTGACTTGGGGGCTGGAACCTGGGTGATCTTTAAGGTCCCTTCCAAATCAAAGCATTCTATGATTCTATGACTTGGATTTACATGTTTGACCATGAAGGGGTTTTTTACTTATTTTTTTCAGAAACCTTCAGAAATACAGTGAATAATCATCCTTAACAATTACCTAATTTAATTAATCTTTATTTTTAAAAATTCCACTTCTTAGCAGGTTGTCTAAGAAATCATGTTCTAAAATGAACTGAGCTGAAGCAGTATATTTCATTCATTAGTTCAGGACACAACAGTTCTCTGGTAATAGATAAGCTAAATGGAACATCTTACAATACTAGAACCAGGAGCACAAAAAAACCATCATGAGTAAGTTTAAAATGGTTTAAAATAGTCCCCTCGCTTGTGGAACTTGTTGCCACAGAAGGATCTGGATGCAGATACTGTCACTGGGGGCAGAAATTGCTTAGAAAAGTCCATGGGCAGCAGGTCCTGACCTGGATACTAGAAAGACTCAGCAGAAGAGAATCCTTTAAAGTCCCTGGTGGAATGATTCTGGGTGCTGGAAAAGTACAAGGGGACTGCTTTGCAGAGAGGGGCAGGTCATAAGCTTCTTCTAACCACAATTGTCTTTTGCTACTGGGAGAGATGGATACTGGGCTGGATGCACAACTGTTCTGATGAAATAGATCATTTCTTTTGGCTTGATTTTACAATATTTCATTATAATTACTCAGAATCTCTTCCAGGAGGTGGTAAAAAAGCAGTGGAAATAAATGTAGTGTAAATAATCAAAGACATTTGAAATATATCACATAATTTAAAAATAAAGTTCCTGTTATTGCTGTGTTCCAAATTGCACCCCAATTCATTTATTACAATAGTTGTTAATTTTTTCAAATGGACAGAGATACTGAAGAAAAGCATTGGATTAGGTGATTTATAACATAATTTTCTCAGCTGTCTGTTGTTTGCAGATTGTTCTTTTTTTTCCTCTTCTGTTCTCTTCTTCTTCATTGTGACACTCATAATTTTTTTTATACCATAGCTTATGTATATTTTATGTATGAAATTGAAACAGTATGAATAAACACTGGAAAATGTGCAATTTCTGCAAAATTGACTGCAGAAGTAAAGTAAGACTCTGTTTCCACTCTAGAGAGTTTTGTCCTTGATTTCTTTGGAAAAGAAAGATTTGATCCTTTTATTAAAGCATTGACAAGAACTCCAGGCACAGTAACAGCAGTTAATTAAATATTGGTTGTACTTAAGTCAGAATAATGTATTTTTATCACTTCTCCTTCAGTTTGACATCTTTTTAAAAACTTATTTTGTTTTTATATTTATTACTTTTAAGTTTTGTGTGTTGCTTTAATGAAGACATCTCTGTAAAAAGATTGCTGGAAGGAATAGAAATATTTATCCAAACATGGTATTTCTCTTGCATAGTGTATGAAAACCTCATTTATGACTTTTACCAAGGCTTGACTTGCAACAGTAAGAGGTGATCCACGTTCAGACTTAAAGGATATGGTAAAGGATAAACATCCATCCTAAACCTCTCCAGAGCACTGGGAGAACACATCAAAGAGGCTTATCTTCCCCTCTTGAAAAACAGTGTATGAAATGTGCAATAAATATAACTTTAAACGAGAGGGATAGGAAAAGGAGAGCTGACACATAAAGGAGATGATATGCAATAACCAATTCCTCCTTTCCTAAAGTACAGCTGTAATTATTTACAGATATCCCTGGCTTCTTGGGAGCACAGCTGCTATGAGCAGACTGTTCTCTGCCTTCTGCAGGAGTGCTTCACACCCAGGCTGGTGTCACCAGCACAGTGCACAGCTCTGTCACCTGTGCAGGCAGCAAAGCCTTTCCCATCTCATACTGTGCTGCTCTGCAGCCACTCCTGCTCCTGCTCCCAAGCCAGAGCCCAGCTAACACAGACATGTGTGGCTCTAGCTGCTTAGAGATGAATTCTAGGCTGGCTTATCTTTTTTTTCAGTCTGAAATTCCCCAGAGCTTCAGGCGTTATTGGTCTTGATGCAAAAACCAAAAAAGATTTGCAGTTCTTGGGGTGGCTCTGCACTTAACAGGAATGTCCCCAAGTAGGACAGAAAAATATGTAAATGTGACATGTCTTATTTTTATCTGCTGGGTGTAAACAGGATGGCTCCAATGCAAATGCAATGTTAGACAAATTTGCTTTGGTTATGGTTTTCAGAGTAGCAGCTCCAGCTACAGCTTCCCCTCTCTGCAGCTTATTTTCTAAGCCTGCAGCTTATTTTTCTTTACCAGTCACCACTTTTTTATCAAACTTGTAGAAGTTTCATCACCTTGTCTATCAAATTTCACTCAAAGAGACCTTAAGTTCAAAAGCTATTTGGAGGAGACAAACTGTCAAGTGAGCAGGTTGACAATCTAGTTACAGAAGTCTTGTTGCTTAGGAGGCCTCAAGGACTAACACAGGAAATAAAAAGGGTGTCAGTATTCCTTGTCTTGTCCTCAGTGTCTTTGGCTGCAAATTGCTTTTCAGAAAAAAGCAGTCTAATTGTAAATTGATGACTGTAAGGATATGTTGAAAGACTGACCTTTCTGCAGAGGGGCTTGAGAGGCTGGGGGAAAAGGTGAGGTTTAGAATCTGATGTTAAGAATAGAGTCAGAGGGAGTTCTACATCTCAGATGCAGAAGAAAATGCTTAACTATGAAGTGTGTGCCATAGGTAGGTTCTGAAGTCACACAAATAGAATTTATATTTAGTTTATTTTATAAAAACCTTGTTTTTAAAACCCATCTTAAGAACTTTGATGTCTGGATCTTGCTTTTAAAAATCTTCTGTTTCCTTTGAATATTACTGTTCCTGTTTTTGCACATGGTGCCTCACTATATTCAGAGGTGAAGGCTTGAAAGTATCAGATTAAAATGTTAACAGTCCTGGAGGTTATTGACCATCATTTATCTGTGCCTGAATAAAAAATGTTGTTCATGTGAAATTGGAATGTTTGCTCAAACAAACATCAGACCACATTTTAGACCACATATTGCCCAGATAAGTTGTTGATGGATGGTATTATATCATAGGATCAATAAGTGTTGAAAAACCGTAAAACAAAATTGAAAAGCGAATCAGGAATTGTCTGCCCAAATCCATCTGCTTCTCATCTCCAGTACTGGATGAAAGGCTGCTTTGTGTCACTGGCCTGTTCTCTGCAGGACAAGGACAAGCAGCACTTAACAGTTCAGAGCCCTGGGAGGAGGTGAGGGGCACCCAGGGTGTGGCTGGAGGGACACAGGGTGTGTTACTGCCCAGCTGCTGTGCTCACACTGCCTGGAAGCTGAGGCCAGGAGATGGATTCAGCACAACCTGGGCATGTTTTTAAGAGGATTTCCTGCAGTCCTGTCTCAGAGTCAGTGTGGAGACAAGCTGCCCATGTGGGTGTGCTGGAGGGAGAATGCTGCAGTGCTGGCCCACTCACAGATTGGCATAAAGGTGCTGAGTCAGCAGCAGGATTTGAAGCCCTGATGAATAAATGCTACCAGCTGTTAATGATATCAATGCCATATGGAGTGCTGCAGTATCCAGGTATGTCCTGAGGACAAAGGAAACACAGAAACTATACAACCTCAGACTCCTTCTTGTAATTCAAGAATTTAATCTTGGACATCAGTACCAGGACTCTATTATGGTAACACTGGTGGTGGCCCAGGTGGCACTGAAACTGGGGATGGACTCTGTGCTGGAGTGGCCACAGCAAATAAAGGAAATGCTCGTGACTCTGCACTGACCACTGGTGCTTTGCTGATCTGTGCTGGAGGTACAGCTATTGCTCAAATAAACACCCCTTCTTCTGTTTATTTTTAAATCAGAGAAGTCTTTGAACCCAAATCCCAAATCCAAGTTAGGGAAATTATTGATTCAAATGTCATTTCTGAGCCTCATCTGCAGAGCAGGCTACACAGTATCCAAATGGAATGCTCAAAACTGGGCATCCAGACTTTCCAGTTTCCCCTGTTTATGTTCACACCAACTCCACTCCATTTATCTCCATTCACTGTGGCTGTTCAATTTACTGTTGTAAGAAGCCATAGCCAAGAAAAAGAACTGAGTGAAATTGGGTATTTGTGTCTGTGACTAGCAGTTAATGAAGCTGATTTCTTCCCCAGTGCTCCTTTAGGGGAAGAATCTGGTTGTGTATGTTGATAAAAGTCTCAGTAATGTCATTAAACTGATGGAGCCACAGTGAGAATAGAATCAACATGCAAACAGTTAATAAAAAGGACTGTGCAGCAGAAGTGAGAAGTGTGGTGATTAACTGAAAAGAGGAGCAAACCCAGTGTTTTGAAACTCCCTGAAGTGTGACAGGCTGTTGCCCCAGTGCTCAGTTCCCTGGCCCACTGAAAGCAGCCATGGGTGCTCTGTGTGAGGGCGTGGAGCAGTGCCTGGGATCCCAGACTGGGGCATATGGCAGGTCAGCAGTTCCTGTCCAGGGAAGGAGAACACTCTGGTTGTGTTAGAGAAACCTGAGCTGGCAAAGGTGAAACTTCCCGAGGGAAAAACAAGATGCTGTAATTGGATGACTTGATAAAAACGGGAATGCTGACACAGCCTAGAGCTCCTACTGCAATAAGAATTAGTTAGCATTTGAATTTCAGGATTTTTCAAGAACTGCCTGATTTTGAAAGTTTTTCTACTCTGAAATGAATGAAACCAAAATATATTGAAATTTCTCATAATGTAGAATTAAAGTGGAATTATTTTTGGCTCAGTTGATATGTTTCACACATCAGTTTTTAGCTTATTTTAATCTTTGAAGCAAATTAATTCTTTATATCAAATTTATGTTTTTAAGAGTTTTGCAGACTGAAAATGCAAACATAGTTTCTGTGAATAAAATTCTAAACATTTCAATGTTATTTTGGTCCCACTCAAAATAAAATAATATTTTATATTTTATTTATAATAGTAAAATAATACATTTTAATCAGCTTGCAGAATGCCAGGACACTTTGACAAAACCATAGTTTTTTGTTGGAAGGCTCTTTAAATGTAGAAATTATCCAGGATCTCTAGGGATGATACAGCTCATAAAAGCTTGAAACTATATTTTATTGATTTTTTTTTGAAGAAATGCTCTTACAGATCTGGTGGCAACCGGAAAAAGGCTTTATGGTCTCATACAAACCCCTTAATTATTGCAAATATCAGTGTACTCCTGGCCACAGATGACATTTCTTTCCTATGTTCATTCTTTTTCTTCTTGTCTTCTCATTTATTTATGTTTGTTTTTGTCAGTACAATTACCATGTCTGACTTTGGTGAAATTGATTTTTCTTGGCTGCAGGCTGTCGAGTGTCCCTGTGGCTTTTATTATAAGGCAGTTAATATGACCTATCTCAAGAAAGAATTAGGCTGATTTTTTAAAATCATTGTTTTTCCTGCACAGCAGCATCACTAGAGCATAACAATCTCAACAGCCTGGATTTGATTCTTCACCAGCCAGAATTATGTGCAGAGACTTCACCTGCATGAAGGCTCTTCCACATGCTTTAAGTGAGGTATGAAGCATTAAGAAAAAATTATCTTTCTTGAGATTTTCTACAGGAAATACAAAAATAGGCTAAGCTCTTCACATTATAATTAAGTTTACCCACAAAATAGCAAAACCTCACTAGCTTTTAATGCTACCCATTGCAGCAGTGCTGTTCCCTGTCCATGCCCTGTTCTATGCTGTGACCCTCCTGAGAGCATGGCTGCTCCAGGGGGGGTTTGATGCGGGGTGCCAGGCTCAGCACGCCGGGGCTGTTCCTTGGTGGCCTTGGGGACAAAGCACTCCTGGGGAGTGCTGGGGAGGCCACGGCCCCACTTCCCTCAGGAGCTGCTTTGGGCTGAGGCTGCAGTGTTTGTGCCCTGCCCAAGCTGCAGCTCCTGCTGCATTGCAGCCGTGCCTGTGCCTGTGCCTGTGCCTCGCCCCAGATGCAGGGGCAGGTGCAGACCCGCAGATGCAGGGGCAGGTGCAGAGGCAGATGCAGGGGCAGGTGCAGACCCACAGATGCAGGGGCAGGTGCAGACCTGCAGATACAGAGGCAGGTGCAGACCCACAGATGCAGGGGCAGGTGCAGACCCACAGATGCAGGGGCAGGTGCAGACCTGCAAGGCCTGCAGGTGCAGAGGCAGGTGCAGACCCGCAGCCCTGTGTCCCTCATGCTGTCGGGACACTCCTGGGCTGTGCCTGACTCGCTGCCATGACCACTCCAGCCCCTGACCATGCCTTGCTAACTCGCATTCAGGGCTTGCCCTCAGGCCTGCCTCCTGCCCCTGGACTGACACAGAGACCTGTCTCCTTCAATGACCTGACTTCCATGCCTGGCTGTGCCTGCTCGCCTCCCTCAGGCACCACAGGACAGGCCCCTGCCCCGCCAGCCTGGTTGTCACACTTGGCTCATCTCCCCATCCCCTAGGGAGCAGCCATCTCCCTCTGGGCCCTGACAGATTTTGCTACCAAGGATATTTTTTTTCTGATGTCTTTGGGCTGTCCCAGCCCTGCAAGTTCTTTTATCCTCCACAGTTACCTTTCCTTCATGCCCTGCTTGATGGGGGGAATTTGAGAATTAAAAGCCAAATACTGTTGTTGGAAAATGCCTGTTAAATTTCTTTTCCCAATCTGTTCTTGTGCTTTCATAAAACTGAGAATGCCAAAGATGAAGACTGTAACAAACTATTTATTTATTTATTTGAAGGTGTTACACAAGTTGAAGACTATGTTGCTGTTTTGCTGTTATTTTGTTGCAGATAGTTGAGGTGCTTGGGTGCTGGCTAGACTGTGGTAGGCTTTCTAGTTATCAAAGGATGGAGGATGCCTTCTGGATGCTTTGCTTCTCCTGGACATGAATCTGATAGAGAAGGTTCTTCAGGAAAAGGGAGAATAACTGGTCCAGTGACTGGTTTGGTCATGTCTGGTTTGTTTACTTGAGTATTTTCTTCATCACACCTGTGGGCAGATCCTACAGCCTTAGGAGGAACTGGCTTTCTGTCTTTATGTTCATTTTGACTTTCTCGTAGGCTATGGAAAGTGATGTCCTCATTTGAAGGGGGTAGAATTTTAACCCAGCCCACTGTTTTTTCCAGGTGTGGGGAAAAAGTATTGGCATCTGAAGGGGAAGCCTGTTGATCCTGCATGGATTTTCCAGGTGTCTGATTAGCTTCCTGGTTTTCCTCTTCAGTGGCAGGATCCTAAATAACAAGGATTAAGCATTATCTAAATTGAAGCAGTTCCAAATTCCTTCAGATATGAAAACTACCCTTCACACTAAGGATCTGCTGCATCTCTAGTCCTCCAAGACCAGCTACAGAACAGAAGCTCAAAGGTAACAAGATGTAACTACATCTTGTGCCAGTGGAGATGGGTGCATGAAACTTGGGTAACTACAGTAATATCCCCTTGCATTCCCTTTGTGATTTACAATTTCATTGTAGAGCATTCTGAACACATTCTGCAGGATTGTCTCTATACTCACTCTATTGCCTTTTTGTCCACCCAACAACAGTTGGTTTTATCACAAGAGAGATTTCTTCCTGATCTAGCCTTATCACTTTCTTGAAGCACATCTTTGTGAATAAGAAAACTTAAAAATGGCTAGGCTTTCAAAAGTTCAATACTTGTTTTGTAAAGGAGTATTACTCTTGCAATATTAAGATTAGATTAAGAAATACCTGCTGACTGTAGATTTCACAGGATATCGTGACAAACTCTTCCACACGGCTTTTTACTACAGAGCCTTTGCAAAAACCGATTTTCTGTAAGAAGAAAATACAAGCATTTTTCACATGGAGCCCTGATACTAAGCTCCTATCTTGTAAAATAAGTGATTATGAAAGGCTGAATAGTTATAGCTTCTAAGTGTATTTGTAGGGATAAACAGCTTGGGCAAATTTTTGTTTTGGGATTGGCAACCTCACAAAGGCAGGCAGTGTTTTGATAAAGGCCTTGTGTTTGCAAAGGGGGGTTAGGTAACACAGTAGCAAAACTAAGCTGACTACTTAAGGCCAAACAGCTTGCTTCAGTTCTCATGCAGCAGAATATCCCTATACAGGCAAGTTGTGTGTGGAACATAATATAATTTTCCACACAGAATCAATTTCACACCATACTAGTGAAAGAAACCGTGAAAAAAATGCTGTTTCTTGTCTATAGGTATATACATCTATAGGTATCATCGCTTGGATCTCACTTAAGATGTGACTTGAAATGTTACCTCTTGACAACATGCCTGTTTAGTTTTTCAGTTTATCTTACAATTTTTACTTTAGTTCCTAAATGTTTTCCTTAGCTGACCTGATTGTAGTATGAATATACTCTTCATGCATTATTAGTGATTTATGATCTATGTCTATTTCTTTGGAAGAAATCCTTTAAACTCATTCAGTTTTGTAAGGTGATTGCTGCTCCACCTTTTTCTGAATGGTATTTTTTTGGTTTTCTTTGCTTATGGACTTTTGGTAAGAATTCAGAACTTTTGCTGAAATGTTTCTATATTCTAAAGCAGTCTGTAGGCTTGCAAGACACTATAGAGTTATGATCCATAAAAAGATGATGGTGGGTTTTGGTTCTTTTCTGCAAAGAGCCAAGGAGATAAATACTAAATATTTGCTGAGTAATCATAGTATCTGGAAAGCTGGTGTTCATACAAGGAAAAGTACTTACAGCTACTTCTGGTGGAAGTGGCTCACACATCGAGATGTCAGCAACCGTGTCATCTTTGGAGCAAGATGTCTCCTGAATTAAAAACTCCACAAAATGTGCAGGACCAATGACCCACTGTAAATGAGAGGCCAGTGGCAATTAGAACTTGTGCATGTGTCAGGAACAATAAAGAATTTCTACTGACCTTGAAATATATTAAAAACTCCTGCTATGAAAGGAGCAGGTGATACTTGGACATTACTGTTTGTTGTGTTACAGTGAATTTTTTTGCTAGTGCTGCTTTATTGCCTGGTCATTTTTTACTTTTTATATATGCACAATCTTCATAACTCATGGATTGGCATAGTGGAAATGGGTTTAGATTTTGTCAGAAGTTAGCATCCACACAGAACTACATAGCCAAAGAACCTCTTCAGTGTCTTGCTGACAATTTCTGATTGTTTTAATGAACAGAATCATTTTACTATTTCTGAAATTTGGGTTAGAAAATGGAAGCGATTAAATAGTATATTGTAGTAATATCTGATGGTTTAGAACAAACAAGAAAAACCACTTTGCTATCTACACATACTGAATTTTAGAGAGACTAGGTAATACTGTGGTAAACAAAGAGGATTTTGCCATGAGATCATGAGCTCTCTGTTAGTCTAAAATTAGTTCTAAACCATGCTTATATTCATTCAGTGAATTACAGGTAGGAATTGGAAGGTATGACTGTACTTTATTAAGAACTTTCTATTAGGGAATTGCGAATTCATGGTGGTGGAAGAAGAGTTAACAGTGAAGCTTTTCTGAACTTTGGTAGCAAGTCTATGTCTTGACTTCTGCATTTCTTTTTGCAAGAAATGGAATCAGAGTCTTGGATCACAAAGATCAGGAGTATTCTGAATAGAAGGATTCTTGAGGGCTCAACCAAGTCAGATGAGCCTTGGCTTACCTGCATTGAAGCTCTTGTGACATTGAGGACAGAGAAGTAATGAGTTTCTTCACTCTCTTCATTGAACTTGGCAAGGCTTCGGGCAGCAGCCTCCAAGTATTCAGGCTTGGTTGGAGAACCATCAATGGGGCAGTCGGGACATATTGACCAAATATATTTGCCTGGAACTTTTTATTCAAACACAACAGTGTTGTTAGAGAAGACATAACCAGAAAAGCATGTTGACAGTGTAGGTCACTGTAAATTCATCTAAGCTCCCAACCCTACCCACTTGTCCTCCACTCCCCTGGAGTAAGATATATGTGGTTTGCACCCCTCAATAATTTCAAATCTTTATGTATTTACAGACCCATAAAAATGTTGCAGTGGAGGCAGACACCGAAGGAAAAATCCAACCTATTGACAGTGGGCTTGCTGTTTTTCCTTGCCTTTCACAAACCCACAAAATGTTTTTCAGTTCAGAGGGTAAAAGCCCATATAGAGGCTCTGCTGAGTGTCCCAGAGGTTAAAACAGTTATTACTGAACTCTTTTGAGCTGCATTACCTCCCTGGCCTTATGATCACTGACTTGAGAAAATCAGGGCAGCTGAAGCTAATGGAGATACTGCAGTCATAATTACATTTAAAATTTAAAGTAATGCTATTTGGCAAAGAATTTTTCCAGTTCTCTTATAAAGAGTATGTTAAAGACATACCTGGTTGTAAAGTGCACTCATAAGTATTCAGATGAGCAATATTTCTTGCCTGATTTATATAGATAATTGCTTTGCATTGACCGTAAACCTAAAACAATATAAACATTTAGAAACAATTAATATTGCACCCTTTACAGATCATCTAGTACCTAGACAGGAGTGTTTCATTTTCTTCTTGCAATTATGGAATTCTTTTCAATACATACCTTTTGTTAATACTCAAATGAAAATGAATCACATATCCAAGCATCTCATTTGAAAACAAAAGGCCAGCTCATCCCTTGGTGTGATTCTGAGCTACAGAGCTGCAGTGCTTGACTGCTGGGTGGCCTGCCCAGGGCCACTCTTCTGGCAGCTGAGAAGTGCCCAAGTGTCACAGAGTGCTCCTGGGTCTCTGTCCTGGGCTGGGTCTATGTCTGGAGCTCAGAGTTTAAACCCAGAGATAATTCAGAGTGTCTGGATCCAGTCACCTGTCTTCCACCTTCACCCTTTTCCCTATAATCATAGGGAGAGTGGTAGGGAGGACCATAAATCAGTTTTGTGGCATAGTAGGGTCATCCTTGCAGACAAAAAAATCTGACTTTATGGCTGAAAAATATTCTCTGAAGGCTTCTTAGATATTCCTGCATGTGTGCTCAAGGCCTCTGGACATGCATTTCTTGGCTTCACTGAAGCCATATAAACCATATAGGCTTTGTGCCCTTTTTCTGCTGAAAACACTGTAATGAGAAGTGAGCAGAATTCTTTTTATTTTTTTCTAGTTTTTCATTGAAAAGTTAAAATTGATTTGCCTTAGAAGCAGTCCAGGAAAATTTAATCATAGCTTTTTTTATATAACCTTTTTTCATGTCATTCTTCATTTTCTAAGAGTTTTTTTCAGTTGTTCAGAGCAGTTTTGGTCACCTGTAGCAACAGTCTTGGACCACTTTCTGTCTTTTCTGCTTATCTTGCTGAGCTTTCCCTTTTCTCCTATTTCAGTGCAATTTTTGCAAAGTTGTCAGAATAAAAGTGGAATTAAACTAAACTAAAAATCACATGTTATATAAAAGTGTGTTTCTTTTATTCCCTCCTTGACAAGCTGTCTTTAAAATAAACTTTTATACTGTTGCTATAAAAAGTAAACCATTATTCTAAATAGTGTCCTAGCATGGCTATTTAGTTTGGTCTCTTTATTTGCTCTGGTCAAAAACTTTCTTTTAATTTTCACTTTTAAAAATAAATCTTACCAGTCTATAAACTGACTAGAAGGTACAGAGTAAAATTGTGGATATTATAAAATAGGCTTTGATTTTTTTTCTAAGCTTTTTTTTTGTTGCCCACTAAAAATGCAAGTGTAGGGTTTTTGCAGTCATCACTAGTACCTGAGTAACTCATCATATGTGAGATTAAATAGAAAAATAAAATCCTTACGGTTGAATGAGCAGGTCTGGTGTTACAGTTCTTCCACAACTTTTTGCTGAGTACATGGCACTCAGTATCTACTACATCCAAGATGAGATAGAAGACAGAACCACCAATCTCCTGAAAACAAGAAACAAAAGGGTCACATCCCAGTTTTGTATCAAAGTAGGGGCTCATAAAAAGGAGAGATGAAGAAATGAAAAACACACAGATGGAATGCAGAGATATCCTGAGAACTGAACACTCTCTGTGACAAAAGTGGCAAACCAGGTGAAATTCAGGTCCTGTTAGAACTGGCTTGGTCATGCAGCTAGCCAGCTGTATATAAAGAACAGTACTTTCTTTGGTCAGTTATATTCTTCTGTTTCTGTTACCAACCAGAACCCGAGAATAAAGACTAAACATGTTGATGTTTTCACTGTCAACTGCATTTTATTATCAGATTTGAAAGGTAGGTTATTTTGCCTGAAATAAGAATGAGATTGTAAATACCACAACTAATAAAAAACTGCTAACATGGAACATTCCCAGCAGGCATTAGAAAGAGAAATATCCTATTTCTTAGGACAGTGTCTTCTTCAAGTGTGGATGCTCTCACCTGCTGTAAAGAGGCAAAGGCTGTGTTGATAGAGAAGCTTAGATATTATCTCAGCTATCAGGGAGTTCTGTGAGAGACCTTGCAGGGTCACATGGATGCCTCAGACTCACTTAAAGCTTCAGCCCAGTGCTTGAGTTCTGACCTGTGCTTAAGTCCAGAAACCTTTATTCAGTTCACTGCAGCACAAAGCAATTCAGGCTCATCTTTCCAGGCAGGAAGTACAAGGAAGGACTAAAAATACAGTTCCATATATCTAGTGCTTACATCATGAGGTGCAGGAAGATGAGCTGCTGCATGGTGCAGCTCCTCATTCTCCTTCCACACTAGACATGGGTAAGCACCTTTCCAGCATATTTATCAAGGATACAGCTTAGTTGGATCATGTTTTATTTATATCCTTAGTGGAAAGCTGGAAAGAGGGCAGCTGTCATTTATACAACCTAAAGGACTTAGATGTGAGCGTTAGCTGCGTGTTCAGACTGAGATTATGTCTTTGCTGAAGGGGGAGAAAAACCAAACTGAGTGACAGCAGTGTTCATTCATCCCTGCTTGATGTCACTGGTTTGTGGAGAAAACACTAAATGGGGTGGCAGTCTTGTGGAAGTCTGGGGCTGATGTCTGTATCATTTTGTCTTTAGTTTTGGCCTCTGTTTAAACAGTGACTAAACACCAGTCCATAGGGCCTATGAAGATGGAGTACTGCTGACTTTTTTGTCTTCATAGTGCTTAGAAAACCACAAAGTGGTGTCTGCTCTGGAGTTCTGAGAGAGATGCAAACTACTCTGATCACATCTATAGAGATCTGAGGGATGGTAATTGTATGTGAACTCTACATGTATACTAGTAATACTAAACCCTTTAAATATGAAAGGGCAAAATGAAAATAAATAAAAAGAATTATTAAATTGCTTTGTTACCATTGTCTCTTAGTTCTATTCTTATATATGCAGCTTCTCATGCTTTCTACTATTTTTTGTATTTTCATATTATCTTTTTTTTCCCTAAGTGTTCTATAAAGTGATCTGGTAATGCCTTGCACTGAGATCTCAGAACTTGCTTACACTAATCCTGAGGTTTAATTATAAGTTTCATTTTGAAGGCTGTGGAAAGATCAAAAGTTATTTTGACAAAGAGTGACACTGAGGTGCAGCAGTGCTGTTTGTGCAGTGGCATAGCAATATCCCCACACCAGGCTGGAGAGATCCTTCTGTGGAAGGGACTAATCATAATTTTCTGTCTATGTACAAGATATCTAAATACCATGATGATAATTCTCTTTAATATGATAGCTAATACAGCTTAAATCAGTAAACACACAGTAAGATCAGTCAAAGAGTATTTGCTATTTGCTGAAAATGTATTTTGGAGTAGTGCAGCATTTGGTACAAGTTTGTAACTTTACATTTGACTTGTATAAGAAAAAAGCCATCACTAAGACTATCCACATGAAGAAGAAATAGCCAAGAAAAATGTGCGTCTTTAAGGAGTCTTATATTTGGAATTGGTGACTTGAGCTTTCAAACTGGTTGTTAAGGTATTCTGGAGGCAAAAGGACACAAATACCTCATTAAAGAAATCTTCTTATAATCAAATGTGTTTGGTGTTAGATGGGTTTCCTCAGCTGAATCATGAATATTGATTATAAAGACTGGTGATCTTAGAAATACTAAATGCATCCAGGGCAGACCAAACTCGTGCCCATAGGTCTCTTGTATAATACCAGCTCTAATAAGCAGATAGGTTTATTACAAAATCTACACATCTTTTGGTCTACCTGCTTCTGTATGTATCATTCTCCCCCAGGGAAAGGATAATTTGGGGCTTATTCAGAGCTCAGCAGATCACTGAAGATTTAATCATCCTTATTTTAATTTTCATTACAAGACCGTTATGCAAGGGCCTTTTGATATCTGCTTAGTATTGAATAAAAAGTTGTATCTCTCTCCATTGCCAAAAGGATCCTTCCTCCACCAACAGCACTGCTGGTGCCAGGCTGCAATGTGTGCTGGGCAGCCTGGGAGCCAGAGGAGATGTGGCAGCAGGGTGACCTGGTGCAAGGGAAAGAAATAAAATATTTGGGCATGTTTTGTAATTTTGGTTAAGTGCCCATCAGTGAAGCTAATCATGAGTATCTTGTATGAAAGCAAGCTCTGTCCTACTTGCATATAAGTTAATAGCAGATGGCTCATTAGTTTCAATTAGAGCAAAGCTGAACCACAGGTTGCTTAAGGGCAGATTTGAATTTGAAGTAACTTTGAAAATGTTTTTATCCTCAGTACTACTTAAGAAAGTGAGAGGAAGGACCACTGACTGGTGCACAGGGGAAAAATAACTTCTTCACTTTTTTGAGAAGAATGGGAGGTGCCATAAGGCTGTTACTGTCCATGAACCCCTTGACATTGCTGACTGTTCCTTATGTACTCAGTCCCAGCAGCAGCAACCATGGGACAAAGGGCTTAGAATGTCTAGTTCGTTATTGCAATGACTTGAAACACCTTATTTACAGGATACAATAATAGATTAAAAAAAAAAGAAATAATAAAAGTAAATAAATAAATTAAACTCCCAGATTAACAAAGTATGCTTGCTCTAAACCAGTAAGTTAAGTCTTTAGGATATTGAGTGACAGACAAATCACAACCAAGGACCAAATTTCTCCAGTGTTGAGATCTTTTTGGCACAGGTAAAGGGAGAAGTAGGGAGATAACTGAGGTGGTTTACAGCATGTCTGCACCTACCATGCTGCACTCTTGGGTGCTCATAGGGGGGGCTCGAATTATTGTCAATAAGAAATAGCCCCAGGAGGGAGGTCTGAGTACCAAAGTCCATGAAATAGCCCCAGGAAGGGGTCTGAGCACCTAACTCCCTGCCTGCTGATGTGGATTCTGGGCCAGCTCACCTGCATCATGTGGAAAAATTCTGAAGAGATCTGATCCAGTTGCTCAGTGGGCACATTCTGTCACCTGAGCAAGGCAATATAGAGAACACAGTGCAAAACACAGCAGAGCATCTTTAGCTGTAAGATCTCAGGTTGCTGGAGTCCACAGTGTGTCTGCAGGAACCATGTCCTTGTAAGAGCAGCAGGAAGAAGTGTCATATCCTTGCCAGCACAGATCTTTAAGCATCTGGCAACGAGCCTAATTTTCTTTAGTGTTCAGAACTCAGCCTTTCAGGTAAGGTAAGCTTATGGGAAGTGAGCAGGCATTGCAGGGAATGCTAGCAGCATGCTTCCATAATGCCTAATCTGCTGCAGGCCCTTGTGAATTCATTTCAGGCTGTCCCTAGTTAGTGCCAATAGATTCAGTTATCGTAGCACAAAATTGTCATAAATTAAGCACACACAGAGAAATATGATACTTGAGGAAATGTGAGTGATATTCTGTAGGTATTTCCAGTGTATTTTTGCCCTTGAACTGGTTTCAGGTTTCTTCTGGAGAATGAGTCATCTTTTAGAGGTCTGTAAAAGAATTCCTTGGTCCCAAGCAGGATGTGTTTACACCTGTTAGTGCTCATATCTTTTGTGCAAAACACACTATGACTTACCAGCCTTTGCACTCCAACTGCTCAAGGCAGCAGGAGGAAGGTGTAAAATGAAATTAAATCAGAGTAGTGGTGTTTCATATCAAATTTGAACTGATGCCTGGAGCTATTCCAAGGGCCTGCAGCAGAGAGTCATGACTGAGATTTGCTCTCTAATTGCCCACAGTGTGATGAAATCGTTTCTAGTCTGTGCATAAAGTTGACATGGCCTCTGGAGTCCTGTGAATAGAGCTTTGCATTTGCCTTTGGAAATATCTCCTCATTCAAATAGATATTTCTGAGAAATAGACACAGGGAGGAGCATACACTGAGCAAGAGGGTGGCTTACCTGGGGCTGCTCTCGGGCGCTGACAATCCTGTAGAGGCTGAGCACGTAGCCCTCCTCTCGGTCAGCGTTGATGTGGCGGAGAGCCAGGTCTGCAGCCGCCTCCACTGCGGCGTCATCGCAGCGGGGGCACAGCAGGGCAGCCCCTGCTCCTGGGGCTGGAGGGGCAGCAGTGCAGGAGCAAAGCACCTGCATGCCAAAGAGCATCCAAGCAAGCCCAACCATTCTGCTTAGAGAGCTGGTGCTGCAGATCAGGGTGATGAGTCAGGATGGAGGGGCTGAGACCTGAGTGAGATAACAGACTTTTATAGTGGAGCTGTGTCTCTTTATACACTTTTATTACATACTGACCATCACCTTTAAACCTACAGCTGCAACAGTAAACACTAAGTCAATGATTACAAGGTTTTACAGAAGTGTTGTTGCTCCCTCTGAGACCAGACAGCACATTTTCCCCCTGGCTTTCCATCTCTAATTTGGACTTCACTGGGCAGATCATGCAATTTTGACCTCATGGCAAGGGATAAGAATACACACACAAAGCTGCTTCCTTAAGAAACCAGATTTGCTTGAAGAAATCTATGTGGAGAACAGGTCTGGCTCCAGTTCTGTTCTGTCAGTGATCCAGTTCTTCTGCGAAATAAAATGAAGACAAAGGTCTCAGAAATTTGAACAGAAAATGGTAAATGCCACAAGGCTGACTGATTTTGCAATTTCTATTTGTTAAATGACAGTTTTGAGCAAATATATTGACTCTAATATATGCAGTCAGTGTGGTTGTGATAGGAAGCTCAGTTTGGATTCATTCTGTGAGCATTTCCACTCATCTGGATACCTACAGTTGAATGCTACCCCTTAGCCCTGGAGGCATTGACACTCCTCAAGGGTCATGGCAAATTCTTCCCAGAGAAACTTTAGTTTGAAATGACAGCAGTGTGCCTTGTGAATAACCTGTCAGGAACTCCATGCTGGAGACAAGGGGGGATAACTTTGCGAGTAGCTTCTATCTTGAAGATCTGGAGAAGTGACAGGGACTATTACTTGGGGAGGATCCTGGTGAATGTCACTGGTTTTCTACTAAGGGGCAACTGTGCAGCATTTCACCTTGAAGGATACCAGAAGCTGGGTTACCATGTCCCCGGCTCTTATTTTTTGTCATGGGACTCTGTGATTGCAGCTTTTGCTGGAGGACATCCAGTACCTTTAGTTTTGAAAGTTCTGTTGAATGAGGAAGAAAAAGTTCAAGTGAGGGGCATAATTGCCTCTTCAATGCTACTGTGATGTTTGGAGTAGTTAAAGATTTCTATATTGTCACTTTTTTTTCTCACTGTGTAAAGAATCTGAGCCCAGAAATGTTTAAAGCATCTGGAGACAGCAGAATGTGTCCCAGGGAATGTCCATAGAAAGCTGGGATTATAGATACAGCCAGAAGAGCTGCAACAGCACTGGAAACTCCTCTAAGAAGACTTTGCTTGGTGGCAGAGGTGCAAAACCCCACTAGCAGGGCAGAAGGGGCACATGGCTGCTGGAGAGAGCCCCTCTCGTGTTGGGTGAGGGATAATGCACAGACTGTGTCCCCGAGGGGGCGATACAAGGGCTGAATGTTGAGAAACACTGCTGTAGCCATAGTACAGGAACCGCAGCAGCAGCAATGCAGACTCGCTCCCATTGTTCCTTGTGCCTGGGGCTGCTTCCCCTGCGGCTAAGGGATAATAACTCATTTTCTTTATCCTTACAGTGCATGGCATTTCTATGGAGATGGGTGCCAGTTAGTGCTGGCTGTGTTGGTGCTTCTTATAATAGGGGATTGTTATATCCCTGACTCTGCTCTTTGTACTCTTCCTCTGCCTGGAAAGGAAAAATTTCTCTGTTGAAGTAGCTGACCTCAAAACATGGACACAGCTGGGAAATCTGAGCATGTCCAGCCAAAGCAGCATATGAAGTACATGAGCTTTTGCAAAACAGGGTCTGAAAAAGCTGAAAAACATTGTCAGCCAGTGATGCAGACCTGGCAAAACTCTTCATGCTGCATTTCAAGGGAGGAAGCATTTGTATTTCATCTACCACCATTTCATATGTCTCATTGCCCAGAGAATTGACTATTAAATACTGAATCTGTTACTAAGGCCTAGGTGCATAAACATGGGGCTATACTGGTGGGAGACAAAGTGATTGCTTCAAAGCAGTCATGGAAAACAGATCTGTAAGGGGGCATAATGTGTCCTTAAGAGGACAAGTGCTAAGGAGAAATAAGATGAAATGCAGCTACCAAAATGGAATGCACAGAGAAATTTTTTTTCTTCCTGTTTTAGAAAACAAGGGATTGGTTTCACCAGGTATAGGAGAACATCTGTGAAGTATGGAGCCTGCAGATGTTTCTGCTGTATATCTTTGCTTTGTGTAGTTTGAAAAGGCAACAAGAAAATGCAGCATTTCTGGATTTCAGGGATCCCCATAGGTAGGGATCCCTTCTATAAACATTGTTTCTGCCATCAGAAAATTTTCTAAGCCTGGAAAACACTCACTCTTCTATTAATTAGTTCCTATTTCATTATATAGAAGACAATATCTATAGTTCAGTAATGGTGATTCCTAGTTCTGAAAAGTCTCATGTATCTGGTGTCACAGGGATGCAAAACTCAATAGCTGCAGTTTCATTAAATCCTGTGCTGTGTCTCATGCAGTGAGATGGGAAGACCTATCTTACTGCATTAAGAGATTTCTACAGCTTAATACTAGCACTTTTTGAAGGCTGCATGCAGGTTATACTGGAGTCACTGCTTTACAGAGGAGCAAAAACTCCCTGAGCCACTGAGTGGCTGTGGCTGGTGCAACTGCCCACAACACACTTCCTGCAAAATTCAGCATTTGCTGAAATGTGAGAGCAGCTACCTTCACAGGAGAGCTTGCCCTCAGTGTGCTGCCATCACATCAGGCTGTGGTTTATAGAGTCTGGGCTGATTTTCTTTTCTTTACACACCCAGCTGAAGCACTGGTGCAAGTGCCAATGACTTTCCCCTTCCCCATTGACACTGCAGAGCAGAACCTCTCTGTATTGTGAGCTGTTGCACTATCACCAAGAGCAAGTGTTAGTTGTGTTGCTTACTGAGTACTGGGTGGTTGTAACTAGAGAACAGGACAGGTTATTTGAAAGAGTTCAGAAATGACATGTGTTCTGCAATTTTTTGCTGCCTGCATGATAATTATCTTGTAGCAAGTGCTGTTCCTGGTTAAACATTCATGACTGTCTTTGAGACTGCTCCCCAGGGCCTGCAGAATTCCAGTCTGGCTGGCAGTAAAGATCCTTCTGGCCCCAGCCCCTTATTAATTCTCTATCTAGAATAGATTCTGCCTCTAACATGTGCCAGAAATTCAGGGAAGATTTGACTGCTAGGACAGTGGTAAATTGCCATCACTGTCAGGGTCCTGTTATATGATATACATGCCAGTCATATATTTTTTATTCCCTTGAATTGGCATTTCCTCATGTGCACACAGACCGTGCAGGACCGCACGGTTGTACTGCACCTGTGTGTCTGCTGGCAGACAGACAATGCACATGTATTTGGCTGCAGGGATTGATGCTTTCAGCCTGCCAGCAATGAGTGTGTCCTGACTCTCTGTTCTTTTCATAGACATGGATGCTCTTGTGCCACGTCCAAAAGTTTTGAGGTATTTCTGGTGGATATCAAAAGTAGGTACATGGTAGGAAACATTATAGGTGGAAGGAAAAAGTACTTTTTTTCCTGCCACTTCTTTAGTGCTATTGGTGTGTGATCAAAAGGGAGGACTGACCTGATTTTCCGCAGTGCTCAGCACCCACACATCCCAGTGAAGCTGATGAGAAGTGCAGGAGCTTAGTGTTTTTGAAATCAAGCCCAGAATATGACTCATAATGCTGTGAAGGAGATACTTGACAACTAAATGAAAATATATACAGATAGAAGGTAGCAAAGCTTTGAACATTTTATTGTGAACTAACCTTTCAGGTGGTGTTTCTATCACAAAGCTACAACTGTTGTATAGCTCTTACAACAGTTTCACTGAAACAATATTTTCTGTATTTTAACTAGAGAATCCCTGTATGTAAAATAAACTACTGCTTTATGTTGTAATAATCTATATTTTGGAGCAGGCCTTTGCAAGACCCTGACCATGGCTCTGCCCTCTGGAGGGTAAAACTCATTCAGGCTGAGAGTCAAGTGTTCTCACCTATTTGTAGTCGATGTTGTGGTCTGTGTGTTGCTGCTGCACTGATCCCTCAGCTTGGCTGCATTGCATGTCTGAAACACAGCCTAGATATCGAAATAGCGAATCCTCCCAGGGCAGGGAGGAGGAGGAGGCACAAAGCCAACAGGGCGAGGTACTTTGTCATGCTGAGCAGCCTCTGCGACTGCTCTCTTTGCTACTGATTTTGCTGGGAGCATGGAACGCAAAATTTCTGAAGAGCTGGATTCAGATGCAACAGGGTTATTGTGGAAAAGCCCAAGATTGTGGTTTGTGATGCCCACAGCACTGGGTGCCAGTCCTGCTGATGTGTCTTGACCTGGATGAGCGTAGGTAACTCCAGGCTGGAAAAGAAAAACAGCTCATGTTGGTTTTCAGGGATTTGGGGCTTGTGATGTACAGGTAATTGATACCTTACTAGTTATCCTGCTCCTAAAAGCTGCAGGCCTGCAACCCAAGTTCAAATGTTCCTGACTATCAGGAAGTCTGATTTGCATTGGAACACATGCACAGGAACCCAGGAACACATTTTTATAGCCAATGAATCATCAGGACCAAATTCTGTGCTATATGATCTTTCAGGGCCACCTGCACAGCTGGTGAAACATTCAAGACCAGCTGTCTCATTTTCTCTTTCATATACCTCTTAGACAGCTAATTACTGTTGAGCTACCAAGAGCTGTTGTCCATAGGAAGTATTCAACCACCACCTAGTCCTCCTGAGACCAAATGTGAGCTAAAATACCTGGAGAGTACTCAGGTCGAGTGCACATGTTTCCCTCCCCTTGCTACAGCACTGCAGGACAAGGTCCCTGAATTCAGTCATCTCTAAGGACTAAAAGCCTCCAGCCTCACAATGCTGATTTCTGTTTTACATTTATCTGCCCCGTCCCTTTAGCTGAGCAGAGTCTGGTTCCCTTTGCCCTGATGGACATGTGAATCTCCCAGATGGTCAAGAGGGCGAATTATGTCAGGCATGGATGGCAGACATGACTTAATGCCCAGCACAGAAATCCATAGGATAATCAGGAGCTACCTTACCTTGGCTTTTAGGGTACAAAGTTAAGTTATCACAGGTGGCTAATGCAGTCTATAGTGAAAGAAGTAAACTCAAGATGATGCCTTGTAACAGTACCAGTAAGCTAGAATACCCAGGAAAGCAAGGGAATATCTGGAGCTGGTACCTGATGTCCATACAACTGGCAGTCCACCTGAAGGTCTTTTGTGGGAGCTTTTACCATCACTGCTGTGCAGAAACCAAAATTCTGGCAAAGCAGAACACAGTCAAGAGAAAATAGTTAGAAAATAGAGGGAGGCTGCATCAGAACTTTGTATTTCAGCACATTTAGAAATGGCTACTTGTTCTCATGTTCTATCTGAGCAGTAAAGTGCTTGCATTTTAGCCTGCTGGGCTGAAAAAAAAAGCTCTTTAAATGCATAAGCAGCAAATAAGGGAAACTTCTGTGTTCTTCTATAGTAAGATCTTCTGTATGTCTGGATATGAGGGAGGGAAAGAATATATAAGAATCTAGGTAAAGAGCTCCCACCCCCTAAAACTGCTTAGGACTCAGTTTCATCAGAAACAGAAGAATTTTAACATGGTAAAATATACAATATAATTCTCAAGTTCATATATATCAGAACTGAGTGCACTGGAATTGTAGGAGGGGGAAACAGTCTGCTTTTTGGGTTTTTTGTTTTTGTTTTTGTTTTTTTTTCTTTTTTTTAATTTGACTGTGTACTGTCCAGTACAAAGAGCCTGATTTTCTCAGGTGCTCATTTTAAGAATAAACAATAATATATAGTCTATTCATTAAAAATATTCTGTCTCTGGTCCTCAATCTTTTTCAAATGTATTCAAATCCATCAGTCCAGATACCTTAGAGAAAAGAGAAAGGTGTGATATAGCTTTAAGAACGATATATTGAAAAATATATTATGATGGTACACATCTCTTGCACTTTGATCCCCACAGGGGTCTATTCCTGCTCCAGTGCAAGCACATCCCAGCATGATGCTGCTTTTCCACTCAGAGCTGGGGAGCTGGGGCTGATGTGCTGCCATACTCACAGACTGATCCTCGGGCAGCAGCTGACAAGCCCCCACGTTGGCTTTAGCTTCTTGTGCAGAGCAGTTCGTGGCACCCACAGCAAACTCAGTAACAACAACGTGCCCTGGGTGATACTGATAAAACAGGAAAAATGTTTGACTGACTTTGCACTCAGAAACTGCAGAGCTGCTGAGAAAAGATAAAAGGCAAATGTTGTGGCTTCATCTCCCACTGGAGTGAAAGGGAATCCTGTGGCTAAAATGACACATAATAGTTGGGAAATTAGAAGCAAATCAGGAGGGTGAATTAGAGCAAGCAAATTGTGTCTGTTTGCAAACATAACTAGGTAGCAGTGCACAATTACTGTAGATGAAGTATTATGTTTACATGAAAGGCTAGACATAGCTGTAGAAATTACCTGTATTTTGGCTCTTCCAATCTCGAGGAGTCTGAGGTAAGAATCAGTGGTTTTGCTGTTGTAGTCATTGAGTGCAGCTGACACAGTTTCTAGCACCTCTGTGTCGTTCATTCTTGCCAGCAGTGGACAGTCAGGGCAGACTTTGCGAATGTCTTCACTGGAGTCTGCAGGAGGAATAGATCATGTTTTGATCAGATTGTAAATTGTTTAGAAAGGCATTATAGGCCTATTCAGTAACACAAAGCACTGTTTAAAAACCTGTCCCAAATTAAAGTGGAGTTTTTCCAGTGCAGGCTATAGATGGCAGTGTGTCACACGACTTGACCATGCAAATCTTTCTGAGGACTTCAGTAGCACATTTTATATGTTCTTACTCAGTTTTTAGAAAATTTTCTTTCTGGAAACCTCTCTATGACACCAGTGAGAAGGTGCTTCAGCTTACACAAGGAATGGTAGAAAAATGAAGATCTTTTACCTCACTGGAGTTGTGTCTGTTATTTCAGTCATCAGTTTTGACAGTAGTACTGAAGACATCTCGTACAGAGCAAAGAGATCTCACACTGAGCAGGCAGAATAGACATTCTGCTTTCCCATGGTACTATTGAAAATGCTGGATTCAGTAAAGAAGCTGCATCTGCCAATGGGACTCTGATGACCAACAAGTGCAAGTAAACTCAGACCAACAAGGAATCAAATTCTTAAGGTTTAACTGTTGACTGAAAAGACTCAAATCTGGGACTTGCTCCCCAGTTAGTCTTACAGTATCTTAGTTGTAACAGTAAAGAGGAGCAAAGAGAAACAGTGGGTTTGTAAGGGAATGAAACCAGAAAAGAGGGCTGGATTTAGAAAATCCATTAACTGCTGTCCTTTATGCCATATTTATACCCAGGAGTTTAGAATCAGAAAAGCCACTGAACTGTAACCACTGCTATAAAAATACTCCAGCCTCTAGATTCAAATCTACAGAACAAAGCATTTACCTGCATGTGAGTGGCATTTGCTAGCAAGTACAGATAATATCCCATCCACCTTCTGCAGTTTAACATCACAGTCACCCTCAACTGCCTAGAGAGAGACAAAAATCAAAGGGTTACATTGTTGGATTTTCTGATAAAAGGCCACTAAATTCAAAAGAACAGATCCTGGCTGACCATTCCTGGCAACATCGGTCTGATGGCAAAGGCACTGCTAGGCATGTCCTGATGTCTGTGATTTTGTAAAAGGCAGATCAGAGCTACAGAATCTGGATCCAAATCTGGATCTCAAAAGTATCAAAAGTACCAGGGTAGCAAGATTGTGGACATTAAGTACAGATTTGTCTCTCATATAGAGCAAAGAATATGAATACTTATGAATTAAGACCTTCCACAGAGCTCTTTGATAACGTTCTCACTAATCTCAGCTGGTCAGTGGCCATGGTAACAGCAGAGTGTGCTGCCTTGTGTGAGCAACATGATCCAGCAGGGAGGAGATGTCAAAGGCAAAGCTGGAGTCACTGGGAAGAGGGAACAGTTAGAGTTACCTCCCCCCTGATGGAAAATAGAATCTGAGCCCTGATGAATACAGGGGTAGATCATGATTCATATTTAGTGAGCTCTGTGAATTGGGCCCCATTCTAGAAACAGCAGGCTCAGACAACATTTCCATTGCTTTGGTCAGGAAAGCGTCTCACAGCTGGATCACACTTGCATAAGAACAAAATATCTGAGGCCAGTAAATTCCAGCTGAGCATTACTTCAAAGGCAGAGCCCTAGCTGAAGGGAATAGCTCATCTGCAGCTGTAACTAGGAAGAGAAGGCTTGGTGGAACTGCAGCAGGTAACAACCCACATGTAGCCAAGGGAAGGGTATTTTTGCACACATTGACAGCCTGCTCTGTCTGTGGTTTGCAATGAGGCAGTGACATCTGGGCTGACTGAATCTGGAGCCCCGTAGAAGGCCCCATGGCATTCACGGACTGTGTGTGGGATGCTATGTTGGCAGAGATCTGTCCTCTTCAGATAACAGGACATGAAAGAAATCCAGGAGAGAAGTCTTTCATGACATGAAGGCAGTGAAGTCAGCAAGGAGGTTACAAGTGGTTGGGTGGTTAAAGGCTGTTACAGGGATATGACTTTTGCTTGGGAATCTGGTGATAGCCTGGCCTTTGGCATCAACATATTGAACATGCACCTTTGGACCCAGCTGGTAATGTTCAGGTACTCACATGTTCTGCAAAGCTCCTCACTGTGCAATTTGCAAGAGGTGTAGGGCTGAGAATAGGGCACGTGGTCTCCAGTAAGTCAAGTTCAAGAAATATGATGTCATTATTTGGCCCCTGAAAGGAAAAAAATAAACCATTGGAATTGATGTAATTTCTTCACAAAACATCACCAGATTTCTTCCCTGGGGCTGCACTTCCTCTGTTGCTGACTATCATGGGTAGCTCCAGGTATACACCAGAGTAAATTAAAAGGTCCTTACTTTTAACTTTATAAAAAAAAACAGGACTCCAAATCTGAAGTCAAGATAATCACACTGAGTTTATTCCAGCTAATAAGGAACAGGCTCATAAATTTGGCAAAGTCAAGCTTGTATGTAGTGAGTCAGTTCTCTTAAGTTAACTTAATTTTAATTTTTTGGGTAGTTTTAAAGAAATCAACAGCTTTCTGATGAAAAAAACATCATGTTTCTATAACCAGATACCAAACAAACACCAGTGAACATTGACCTGTCTGGTTTAGTCCATTGGAATTACACTGAATTGCACCAGTTCCTTTGCATCTGTAACACGGGACACAGTTCCTTGGGTTCTCTAGGTCCAAGATTGATTGTGATGTTCGAGTCATGAGTGATTACATTTAAACCAATTAAGTCATTTTAGTGTAAAAGCATTAATATGAGCAAAGCAGTGTCACCAGTGTTTTTGTATGGGTAACTCTGGACACACTTCTAATCTCTTTTATGTCTGTTGTAGTCTTTTCTAAACAAATCTTTTGGTATCTTCTTTTCCATAACAAGTAGAAAACAGCCATGGAGTTTTACTCATGTCTATGACTCATGTCATGTTTTCACTCATGGGACTATTTCCCATGTTTTAAGAGAATCAAAGGTTCTGAATTGGCACATACATTGTATTGTTACTTTTCTATGGTCTTTCTAGATGCCTTCATTGATAGCAATAGATCTATGGGAAAATAAGCCACGGTAATTTCCATTTAGACTCCTTGGCAGCTCAATGGGACATTAGGTAAAATTAGTGCCTACTACAACATCACAAATAGCATGGAGTTTTGATAGGTATGTGTTTAGCCAATAAGTAATTACCTGCATCTCAAAGATTATCCTCAGTTTTTCTCCAGATTAGCTACTGGGCTTACAAATCAGCACCTGGGATGATCTGCCCTAGCAAACATGCTGCGTTTGTAACCCGAGCTCTTTCTAGCACTGTACAAAAACGTCTGAACATTTCTCCCTCCCCCTCTGTTCTGCTCTTTGAGAGATACATCCCAGTGACCTGGATTCTCCACTGCTACCAGGTGTCCTTGCCCCATTTAAATCAACAGAGCCACGCTGATTTCCCCGTGTGAGGATACAGCCCTTGCAGGCCCTGGGTGATTTCCAAGCGTCCCCAGGTGAGCAGAGTGTTCTGCCTGCAAGCTCCTCACTTACCTGGGGTACCACACGGATATCCTCGATTCTGTTCAAGGCAAACTTGTATCCATGATGACTCTGGCCGTTAATATAATTCAGAGCAACTTCAGCTGCTGCTTCAGATTCTGGGTCATCACAGCCCAAGGGAGCAGGGGGAGCTGCTGGTACAGCTTTGTGAATTGGAAGCTGAACAAGCAGTATTAAAGCTACTAGTGCCTTCATGGCACCTGAGGAAAACTGATCCCTTTCAGAAACAGAGATCTAAGAATACAGCTCAGATGGTAGCTAGGTAGCGAGAGCTGGGGCCTCATTTATATAGTACATACCTCAGATTTACATGAGCACACGCCTGATATTTGTCCCAGTTCCAAGAAGCATTGCAAACAACAAAAGAGAAAAGTAAATGTTAGGACATCAAGCTGACTGATTAATTTTGGCCAAAGTAAATTTTATCAGGTAGGATATTGCGAAGTCTGCTAAAGCAGCTTAAGAAGAAAGCGTCAGCAAAAATGTAACACAATTTTTAGACACTTCTACCAACCAAATACTGTCCACATAAGAGGAATGGGATCCCTTCTGTTAAATGTGTAGAGATGCTAGTGCTAATTAAGCTTTCTTGTAAACAGGACATTCTGTTGGGGCCCAAATCTCACCAGACACCAAGCTAAATTGTGAGATCAGTAGCATGATAATTTAGAAAATGGAATTTTAAGTAGTTCTAAGGATCACATTCAACAGCAAATGTAATTGAATAGCAACTTTTGCTACTGAATTTATTTGGAATAGGAAATGAGGCATAGTTCCTAAATCCTTTGCATCAGCTCTTTCTTTCTCTGAATAATCTGAATATGTCCAATAGTTCTTGGAGTTTTATTTTGCAAAGCAGGCATCTTGTAGGAATGTTTCTGGAATATGTTGTACAGATTTGAGGATTTGGCAGAAGATCCTAAAGAGCACAAAGTGTTTTAAGGAGGATATAGAGGAAAATTAGCTGCTTAAATGCTTAGGAATGCTGGATCCTATCTTATATTTACATTCATAGTGTACATATTTACAAAAGAATAACGGGATAAAAAAAAATTTATAGCAGAATAAAGCATCTATGATGTGTCCAGCATTTACAATCTTTAATTTAAGGTGAGATAACTTTGGCTAGATAGATTCTATCTAGACAGTCTGGCTCAATCAATAGAAATGGTTTTTCCTGCAGGGGTTTCAGAGCAAGTTTCTACCATCCATGCTAGGGCAGTGATCAGAACAGTAAAGGTCCCTTTTGGCTTTAACACATCTGAATCTCTGTTGTCATTTTTAGAGCTGAGGAACTACCTGCAGATTTGAGATGAATAGAAGGACTTTGGCATAGTTAGAAGTTGGAGGTTTTTTTTACTTTAGATAATAAGTATTTCCCCTCAGCTTACATGATATTGTGAGAGAGGCTAAAAGTTTTGGGAAAAGAAGTAATCTTGAGTCATTCCTCTCTGTCCTAGAATCTGTGAATACAGGAAACACTATAAATAGCAATGGTTCAGTTGGACAGATTACGTGATAAAGAAGGAGAATGGGAAGCAACTGAACAGATTGGATTATTTGCTTCAGTTGTGTGGCATGAGGTGTGTTATGGATGCTAGGATTTGCAAATTGAAGAGATTCATGGGGAAAATAAAGACTTTTTCTCTCTCACACATTAAAAAATTGGTCTGAACATGATTTGTTTCTTCTCCATTACTTGAAGCAGGGGTTTTTTGGCATTTGCTCTGTTGTGTGGATGATCATTTGTTTTCCTGAGTTTGGCCTGCAACAATTAAAGAATTAAGGCTTGGTGTCCCAGAAACACACTTTAAGTGTTCCTTGTGGGCATCTTTTGAATTACAGCAAATTTATTTAGCAAGATAGTATTTTACTCTTTACTGTTAATGCACAGTTCAGTTTCTAACCTGTAAATCCTTTAATCCCCCTTTTCCTTTTTTTGGAAACAGTGAGGTGAACTTCCACCAGGTGCAGATTTTCACCTGAGTGACATATAATTATCCCAGTGAAGGACTTAAATTATTATTTCTAAATTTTGTGTGGTCATTACTCAGTTTCTTAGGTTACATCTTTTCTACTTAGAATTGCAAATACTGTAGAATGTATAACATTTCTGCAGTCAAGCTCTGCATATTCCTAAATGTAATGTATAACCCAGTTCAGTCAACTTCAGGTTCCAGTTTCAAAGAACAACTTAAAACCTCAAATAGCAAACAGGATTTATTATCTTCTTTCTTCCTTCTTCATTGTCAGTCACATTCCGTATTCCATTTACCAAGCAGGACAAAAAGGAAATACTTTGAAGCCTTCTGTACCTCTCCTTAGTTTCTCTATAGGCTTACTCAAGCCCTTCCCCTCTTGGTGATTGTGTGAACTTTCTTTGTGGGCATACAGAGGATGAGAAATGTGCCCACATGATTATTAATGCAATTATCAGTGCAATGTGAAATGTTGGCAGTTCGGGGTGACTTGTGATATGTGGGAGGAAATTTGTGTTTGGTTTTTATGTTTGGGAAAGGAGTTTAAAAATACAATTAGGTAGTTTGGGTACAGGTAATATGACAAAGGAGCCTTGCACATTTTGGGTACAGACTGACACACATCTGCCTAATTATTCCCTCTGAAGGTGGGATGGCTGGTGTCAGCTCCCTGCAGGCCTGTGGCCCATCACGACTGTCCTTTTTACAGCCCCCTCACTGAAGAGGCAATAATGCAGAGATAACTTCTCACTGACCCCAGGCAAATCTATTCTCCCTCTTTCATGCCTGAGACATAGTAACACATTGTCCTGTATTTGCAGTAGTGGCTGCAAATAGTTCTTACAGCACAAGAAAGTGACCTGAATGCCGTGGGCTCCTGCACAGAAGGTGGCATCTCAACCCCACTGAAGCAAACAAGTCTTTCACAGAATAGCAGTATCACAGAAGGGTTGACTTTGGAAAGGACACCGAGTGGTCACCTTGTGCAACCCCACTGCACAAGTAGGGAGGGCCACCTTGAAATGGTCACCCACGTCCAGGTGACTTTTGATTATCTCCAAGAAAGGAGACTCCACAGCCTCTCTGGGCAACCTGTGCCCATGCTTGGTCACCTCACAGTCGGGTGTGTTTCCTGATGTTCAGACAGAACCTTCCATGTCAGTCTGTGCTCATTGCCCCTGGTCCTGTCACAGAGTACCACTGACAAGAGCCTTGCTCCACCCCTTTGTACCCTCCCTTTTGGTATTTATACCCATTAAGCCCTTCCAAGCCTTCTCTATGCCAAGTAGTCCCAGCTCTCAACCTTTCCTCACATGAGATGCTCCAGTACTTTAGTTACCTTTGTGGCCTTTTGCCACACTGTCTCCAGTATTCTCTCCTGTATTGAGGAGCCCAGAACTGGGCACAGAAACCAGGTGTGACCTCACCAGTGCTGAATACAAGGGAAGGATCACCTCCCTAAAGCTGTTGGCAGTGCTTTGCCTAGTGCAGCTCAGGGTACTGTGCAACAAGGGAACATCATTGGCTCAGCTTGGTGCCTGCCAGGACTCCCAGGTCCTTTTCTGCCAAGCTGCTTTACAGCTGGGTGATGCTTTCCAGCATATTTTCCTACATATGCTGCCCTGGGGATTTCAGGATTTCAGACTTCTCTCTGAACTTTGTGAGGTTCCTGTCAGGCAGTTCTGCAGCCTGCCATGGTCCCTCTCAATGACAGCATCACCCTGTGGCATCCCAGTCACTTCTCACAGTTTTGCTCATCATCCAGATCACTGCTGGTGTTAAACAGGACTGGACCCCAGAATTGCCCCTGTGGGGTACTGCAGCTTACTGGCCTCCATCTTGCCTTTGTGCCATGATCAGCACCTCCAGGCCCAGCTCTTCAGCCAGTTTTCAACCCACCTCAATCCACCTTTGACATCAGTGGTGTGAGGCTTTGGCCCTGGTGAATTAGGTTGCCTGAGAGACTTGACAAGGCTTCACTGTGATGGAAGCAGAACAAGCTGGGTTTACTGCCCTTGTTATATAAAATATAGTATTGATTCTATGCTCAAAAATTGAGGCTCCACTGAATCTCAGTTCTTAATAATTCATATAAACCACAATGGAAAGGTGAGTTGATGGTTTTCTTTTTTGCCTTCTCTCTTTTTTTTTGGTTGGATGCTCGGAACAACTAGCGATGATTGGAAATTTGCTGCCCCTGCTCAAACTCATTTGGAAAAAAAGCAAAGAACCCCTTTCCTAGATGTCAAATTGACACCTTCCTGAGCTTAAAATTCAAGCAAATTAACCAAGCAAACAGATAAATATCATCTTTTTAAAGCTTCACATCAAAGTTAAACACTTGTGGGGATTTCTGAGGCTCTCTTTTCAGATTACTAAACCGACATTTTTTGGTAAAGCAGACAGAACTGGTCCAATTCTCTGTACCACATCAAAAGATGCATTTCTGAGCAGTCAGGCATTGTACAGTACTGCAAAACTTAATCACCTTTTGCTTTACACTTGATTAAGTACATTACTTTTGGATCATCGAGTTCACAAGATATTGGAACATCAGGGCTGTCTTCTATATAGCCATCACCTACTCAGAAACCTGCACGCCAAGGCAGAAAATGTCTGCAGGGAAAATGTCAGAAAGTTAAAGTCACCAGCCTTGTCAAGGCAGCATATTGCTCCCTTAAATGACAGTATAATCAGCATTTAAAAATAAAGTGTGTGAAAACCCATAGAGGTCTGAGAAAAACCTCAAGACAAATTAGACTAATTGATTTGCATAGTCTTATTGGCCCCTTTCCACTACCTGGGCAAATCTTCAGCAGATGTAAATTGGCTCAGAATCACTTCAGTCCAAGTCCCCCATTGTCCCTATAACAGGAATTTCAGGCTAAGAAAAACTGTGAAGTCTGAACAATTTTACCAGATAGTAATAGTAGCATATGATATGTAAATTAATTTATTTTTATTAAATATTAGAATCTTCAAGAGAAGAAAGGCTGACCATGTGCCCTAGTTTGCTGTGCTATTTGCAGTTGAGAAATTTCTTACTGTGAGATATAAAGTGTTCAGACATGGCATCTAATTTGAGAGCCTTTAGTCCTGGATGTCCAGCTAAGATTCCTTTTCTGTGAGCTTTGCTGATCTCAATCTGTTAACCTTTATTTTCTTTCAACTGTAGGATGAAAATAACTATTTTCCCTTTTAATTCTGTGATCTGAA